CATCATCATCATCATCATGATCATCATTAATTTTGCTTCACCTCTCTTTCAGGTGAACAGGCATGTAGCTCTATTCCTCTGTGATCTAGGTAAGAAAAACTTAATGCTATGTAGCTCAATGAGCTAGGTACCTGGCTGAAGAGCAGGGGTTGGGAGTTTAATTCCTTACTTTGCATCCCAGAAGAGCCAGCCTATGTGGCCTTGGGCAAGCTGCACAGTTCTCAAATGCCACTTTGCAGTGCTGTCTACCTAGAAAATATGTTGCCATAAATCAGAATCAACTTGACAGCACTTCATATTTATGTTCATAAATGCATGAACTATATTTGGACTGGTAGCTAAATGGCAGGGAAGGAAAACAAGGGCTCCTCTAGAGCTCGGTGAACCCCCACCAGTTGACAGATTTAGGGAGAATTGTCAGTGGGGATGCTGGGATTTGTAGTTCAGCAGTATCTGGAGTGCGATGAGCATTCCTGCTATAGAGAATAACCTAGGATGAAAGAATCCCCTGAGGTGTCCCCAGGAACGTTCATGATGGGATTTGGAACAGGCCAGTTTAGCATAAAGTAAGACATGAACTAACTTCGCTGTCTGTGGTGTTATTTCCAGAGAAGCCAAGGACATTCACTGAGTGTGAGAAGATCTTCACATTCAGATTCTTCACCTTCCAGTTCTTTACCCACTTCTCTTCTCTGATCTACATTGGTTTCTTCTTAGGGAGGTAAGCAACACATAGAGAAGTTGGGCAGGTTCTTCAGGCTCACTGCTTAGGTGTTCTGTTGGAGTTGGAAGGAGAGGGTTTGAGTTTAATTCCAGCCACTTTTTATCCATCCCAGATTTGTACCTGTAAAATGGTGGCAGCCTACCTGTCACCATGGCTGTGGGAATGAAAATAGAGATGTATATCTCTTTTCTGTTTTTGAAAAAAAAAGCTATCTGAGTGATTAGTGTTACTTTGGGGAAGAAAATCGAGGTATAGTTATTACTGTAGGGTTGCTTAGTATTCCTTTGACAAAACTGGGTCTCCTGTATGAGGAAAGCATGGATTGATTCCTGTTCCTTTTCTTCATTTGCCTTTCTCCCTTGTGGTTTGTCTGACATTTTCATTGTCACTAGTTTTTGCTGTTTGAGATACTATATCACTTTTACTCACTATGACTTCCATGCTGTATGGTTATCAAAGTTGTCCATATAATTAGGAGCTGATTTTTACCTCAGTCATATTTCCATGACAGGATTAATGGTCGTCCAGGGGAATATGTTCGTATTTCCGGCAAGTGGAGACTGGAAGAAGTAAGTTAACTTTGCTTCTGTACAGTAGTTTCTTTTGCCATAACTCCTTCCTGGTCTCCTGTTTGTTGAAATATTTCCCCTCCCCTTCATTTATCTGAGACCTCATGTGGAGAATCCTTTCACGTGGTGGAAGTTGACCATTAAGTTTTTTCTCAAAGGGCATCATTACCTTAGACTTGTGTTCTGAAACACAAATATAAAAGTCACCCGAAAAGTTTAAGCAAGCATGTGTAATTAAAATATATGATTGCATAGATTTGCACCTTAGATATACAAGATACAGGCTCAGCTGTGAGGCTAGCTGGGTGACTTTGAGCCAGTTACTGTCTCTTGGCCCAGCCTTCCTCACAGCGTTCTTATGGTGAGGAAATCCAGGGAGAGAGCCATGTATATCTCCTGAACTGGAAAGAAAGCCAAGATATGAATATAGCGAAGTATCTCTCTCTCTCTCTCTCTGTCTTTTAGTGTCACCCTAGTGGCTGCCTTATAGATCTCTTTATTCAGCTGGCTGTAATCATGACATTAAAGCAAACCTTGAGCAACTTTGTGGAGTACATGTTTCCGTAAGTCATTGTAACTTGAGGATCATATCTCAAGAAACAAGGTCATTTTTTCCCTGAGGTATCCTAGACTACCATAGCTGGATGGGGGATGCACCAGTAATGCACTCCTTCAGTGCAAATGCCAAAGATGACAGGATGCATTCAGACCAGAGTGGCTAGCCTGGAGTGTAGTGAGAGACTCTATCCTTCTGCAAGTGTAGCTTGGCTCATTTGCTTGAATCATATTTTGTTCAGCCTTGCTTGGTGGTTTGGCATTTGTGGACCTGTTTTTGTATGTGGGACATTTTTTGGGGGAGCTAATACATGGAAGATTCTTGGGCTGGGTATCTTTCATGGCTGTGACTCTAAATTGAGTTCACTTGTACTGTCCCTGTGTGAGCATTTGAGGGACACATGGAGGTGACAGTGGATTTCAGTTATGCACAGGTGTGTTTTGTAACAGCTGGTGCCTCTTTGCAGGGTTACTTTGGACAATGTACTGGCCTCCAGGTGCTGTTGGACTGCATCTCACAGCATTGTGCCCAATTCTCTATGCTGGCTAAGGGCTGATGAGCACTGTGATCCAGAAACATCTGGAGGACCTCAAGTTGCCCATCCATGTGGGTGGGCATGCCTGTAACAATTGCCTCCATTATGGTAGTCTGTTAATAATCAAGTCATCTCAGTTCCATGAACTGTTACTGTCACTGCAGATACCCCTCATGTAGAGGTTTCAGTTTTTTAAAATGGTGCCTCCTTCTTTTGTATTGGCTATCTGAAGAGTGAACCAAGTCCACGAGGCTTCCAAAAAGTTAGGTGGTGCTTTTTATGAGAGTTCTCTCCATTGTCCAGAGAAGAGATGCTCCAGGCCTGCACCTGAGAAGAATAATTGTTAAAATCCTTGTGACAGCTGGTACTGTATGTTGTTGTCATCTTAAATGTGCATATTCATGCACTTCTCTGGAAGCTCATAGATCCTGTGCTCTGACATTTGCATTACTTTTATGTTTTTTGTTTGTTCCTTCAGATATTTAAGCTATAAGTGTCGGCTGTTATCTGGAAAGTCTCAAAGCAGTGGCAGGGTTCATATGGAGGCGAAAGCTCAGGACCCATTCAAGGAGGAATGGATATGGAATTATCAGCTCAATGAAGTCAATGTCTACAGTTTGTTTGATGAATATTTGGAGATGAGTAAGTGAAGATGAGTAGCATGTCTTGGGGAGGGTGAACTGCCAAGCATAAAATCGAATGTGAATTTGCATTCTGTCCTGGCATTCTAGTTATCCTTTGTCAACCAGGTAGCTATTTGGTCAGTTAAGCCTCAATTATGGTTTTCAGAGAAATAAAACAGAATGATATTGCTGTGATTGCCCACTTACTTCATTTTCTTCTACTGTTGAATCTGATCCAACAAGTTCTTGAAATGTTTGATGGTGTACAAATATGTTTGCAGAATAAACACAGTGATCCTTAAGTGTTCAGTTTCAACTTGCTGATAAGCTGGCCATTTGCAATGCTGGCTGGGAATGATGGATATTGTGATTGAATTTATCTAGATGCCACTGGATTGGGGAATTAACATGTCTTTTGCATATACTAGATTAGCTTAGTGAGCTCACTTCATTTTAGGCTATTGCAGCCATCTATATTTTACTAAAGACAGATTAATTGCTGTAAAAATTTTGTATTTGCCATATACTAACTGAACAGTCTGCTTGTGGAACATACGGACTCTCAGAATGTTGAATTCTGTACACTGTGCTGGTTTCTGCACTCATGCAGAGAACTCCAGATCTCTGAAAAGCTCACACAACCATTGCAAAAATTATTATCCTTGCCTTCTGTCTTAGAATGCGACTGCTTACAAGGGATGGATTTTAATTCTTGTGGGTGACATATTCCAGATTGAGTGTCCCATGGGACTTTATAATGACCAGTTGTGATGCTTTCCTGAGAGAAAGAGTTTGCATTAATATCCTTCATGGTTTACATGTGCACCCTCTGGTCTAACAAATGTAGCAGTTGCTGAAAGTTTGTCCTAGTCTAATGCCTCTACATACTTATTTTTTAAACCCTCAGTGATCCAGTATAGCTTCACCACTATTTTTGTGGCTGCCTTTCCCCTTGCTCCATTGCTGGCCCTTCTGAACAATATCATTGAGATCCGACTAGATGCCATCAAGATGGTGCGACTGCAGAGGCGTATGGTGCCCAGGAAAGCCAACGATATTGGTAAGAGAAAGGCTTCTATTTCAGACCCATTAGGAGAGGCTGCCCTTTTGCTCCAAGCTATTGTAATAGATGATACTGAGCTCTTCTAGACATGGTAATTTATCCAGGCCAGGGGCTGAATGAAGAAGTTATGTGGGACAAAGGAAACAGCAGTACTATCAGAAGCTTTTTTAAAAAAACCTTTGCCTTGTTAAGAAAGGCTCCATTTCTTTGAGCTAGAGTTATTGATCGTAAGGATCCTGAGCTAGAAGGCCCACCTTCCCAGGCCTGGGTGTGAATATGATTATCCATGGCCTGACCTGATTCTCCTCTCTAACTTTGGGAATTCAATTAGATGCTGATTATAGAATGAAATTGAGAGGGTGGATGTGGTTATCACACTTTGGAGCTTCTGTCTACAAGGGTGCTGGAATCCAAATCCTATCCTTTTTCACTTGGGTGAAAGACAACTACAGTCTAGAGGTCCTTAGCCATTCATATCTTTGTATCTTACCAATCACTCGGTCAAAGAGCCTCCATCCCACCATGACAAAAAGGATAGATGTGCGAAAGGGACAATTATATGTTTACAGGCATCCTGTTACCATATTTATAACTAACATTGGCCAAAATCCTTTTCGCTTTTTCTGTGGAAGCAATGGCCCATTGTATGTGCACACAAACCCATTGTTTTCAATGAAATGAACTCCAGCTTGCTTAATGACAAGCTGGTTTTTACTAAGCAGTCACGGAGTACTCCGCTCGAGTGCTCTACTTGGGGAGCAATCACAGTTTTCTATTCCTAAAAGGATATTGGCCATTGAGTTTTAAGGACATAAAAATTGTGGCAGCTTGCTTTATTTATTTAGTTAGTTAGTCATTTAGTTAGTTACTTATTTATTTAGTTAGATGCTTGCTTGCTTATTTATTTATTTATATTTATTAAGAGTAAACACAAATGAACAAAAATAATTCCATTAATAGTTATGTCTATAAAATCACTATTAAGAGTAATTTTTACCATGATGGGGTGGCACACAAAGTATTCAGGTGGATGTAAGGATTCAGTGAGGATAAAATCTTTGCCATGAAATTGTTGCATCACACCCAGGGTACTTGTGTGTTCCACCAGTGGTCTATGTACCATTGGATGAGAACCTATTGGTACAGTTCCCAATAACTTTATATACTTCCTTTCTACGAATACATTGTGCTAAAAGCAGACAATATTGTTAGAGTTTTGTGGGCAGGTAGAGGAGTTAAGAAAATTTGGCCCTAGTGTCCTCTGTATCAAACTGACCAAGTAAATGTCTTTTTTTCTGACTTTCTCTCCATTTGCAGGTGTTTGGCTGCAAGTCCTGGAGGCAATTGGTATTTTGGCTGTCATTGGCAATGGCCTGGTGATCGCTATCACCTCAGACTTCATCCCCATGCAGGTGTACAAATACATATATGGACCATGTGTACACAAGAACTACACTGGCATAGAGTGAGTACTATCTGAGAAGTTAAGGTGGCTGTCAAGCATAGTCTATAGTCATTCATAGATTCTCTGTGTGTACATGACAGTAGGAAATATGGGATATGACTAGAACTCTTGAACATTTTCTTTAGGAAGGGTAGATATTAAGTAATGGTTATGGGGTAGCTATCTCTAAAAGTTCTTTATGGGGGAACCATCCATCAAGTTTGTTCTCACGCACTCTAAGGAAGGCAAAGAGGTACGAACATTATGACATTGATTTCTCTATTCAGCAAAGGTTAGACTCGGTAATTTTGGGGGTCTCTTCCAACTCTCCAGTTCTGCGATTCTATGACAAAGGAGGGATCGTTTGGACCAGATGATAAAGAATGTGACAAAGGAAGCAGTTTAAAAAGAGCCTTGGAAGTGAGATGTAGTTTATGAAAAGTGTGGGAAAGAACCAGTCTTTCCTGAATCCTTGTTTTGGTAGAAAGAATCCCACTTCTGCAGGTTCTACTTCCAATTATGTAGTCTGTTTGATTTCTGTAGTAGCTATCCATTGACAGCGGTGTGTATAATCATCTGTTACAATATCTGAAGCATGTATGTATGTGTAATAATCAAACTACAGGCTTCATAGAATTCTATGAGATGTTCTCCTGTTTCATTTCTGATTCCTAGGTCACATTGTCCAACAAAATTTGGTTCTGCAGCTCATCTCATTATCCACAATTCTGTCATGAATTACAAACATTTTAGATAATGAACAATATAAAACAGAAACTTACTATAGTGTGTATCTCTAAAGTTCTGCATGGAAAATAAAAAAAATCAAGCACATCATCAGCTATAAGTCAAGTCAAATTGATTTGGTAACATATAAATAAATACCTGTTAAGTTGAAAAACAAATTACCAGTATTCAGAGGAATTTTTTCTCATCTGAGTGCTGAAAACTGTTTTGTTTCTTTTTAGCGTCCTATAAATTGCATAACTGGACTGGAACTCTGTTTCACCGCAAATAATTGTAACCATTGTTGTTGCATGTAGCTGTTTGACAGGTTACATCAACTACAGCCTTTCAGTCTTCAATGTCAAGGACTTTGAGAACTACAAAGATCTGAGAGAACTTCAGGACTCCATGGAGAACAAGATAACACACTGCAGGTATAGGGAAATGCATATAATTAATCCCATGCCTTCTGTTGTATCCTAGGAACTTTGCAGCCTAAACCATTAGGCAATTATTGGTGTAAAAAAAAAACTTCCATTCAGTAGAGTTTGTGATATATGTACAAGATTTCAGTGGTACAGGATGAGTGTGTGTGTAAATCCACTTCTGTGTTCAGATATATACTCTATTGTAAGAACTGTTCCATCACTGGAACAGTGATACAGTGGTGCCTTGCTTAACGATTACCTCGTTAAATGATGAATCTGCTTCCTGATGATGTTTTTGCAATCGCTATTGCAATAGCGAAACAATGTTTTAATGGATTTTTTTTTTGCTTCCCGACGATCAGTTCCCTGCTTCGGGAACCGATTCTTCGTATTATGACAATCAAAACAGCTGATTGTCGGGTTTCAAAATGGCCACCCGCTGTGTAAAATGGCTCCCTGCTGTGCTTTAGGATGGATTTTTCGCTGCACAGGGAGCAGAAAATGGCTGCCCTATGGAGTATCTTCGCTGGACGCTGAGGTATTTCGCCCATTTGAACGCATTGAACTGGTTTTCAATGTTTTTTAATGGGCTTTTTTATTTCGTTTGACGAGGATTTTGCTCTACGCGATTTCGCTGGAATGGATTATCCTCGTCAAGCGAGACACCACTGTATTAACTGATTCTCATGGATTGCTGTTGATATATATGAATTTTTAAAAATGAATTGTAATCTCATCCTAGCACACCTTCCATCAACAGCCTAGTGAGAGGGAATTCAAACTAATGTTGGGCTATTTTGGCAGTGGTGCTCTTTTGTTACTAAACAGGATGCATGTGAAGATCAGATTGCGAATGACAAATCCACAGTTTTGTGGTACTAAACAAAACTTCCTTGAAAACTGAAAAAGAGTGACTTTTCCTAAGCCAGAGACAGGAAGCTTTCACCAGTTGGAGGAGTACTGACATACTCTTAAGCCACTGAGGGTTGCCTCTTCTGGCCCTCCCCCAGCAGCAAGTTTGGATGCAGCATTTAAGTGTGGCTGTATCATTTCCACAGGTACCGAGACTACAGGAGCAGTGATGACTACAGTTACTCTGTCCAGTTTTGGCATGTTTTTGCTGCAAGGCTTGCCTTCCTTATCTTGTTTGAAGTAAGTGTTCTATGTGGAAAAGCAATAAAGGCAGCCTCCTGTGGAGGCTGGAATCTTAACAAGTTAATTTCAGTTTGCATATAAGGAAAAAGGAATGCTTTGTCTTCTTGAAAAGAGAGACCTTAATTGATTTGGTACATGTCAGACCACACTGGAAATATATTCCATCTCTTTCAGCAAGCGGGACTAGAGAGTCCCTAACCACTCTTTCCCTTGTGATAAATTTGCTCACAAAAAGATCTTATATGTTGATATAAGTAAAAGTTAGTTGAACCCTGGGCTTCAGGAGGCTCAAAGAGAAACTGGAACTGATGCCTCTGCTCTGCACTTTTTAAAAAATTAACAGACACATAACTGCTATGTCATTGAAGCACTCCACAGCAAGAATAGATGACTCGCGTAGCAGCCGGGATTTTGCTTTGTAGGAGGCATATTTGGTTGGCTACGGGAGCAACGGCTGCATAACATGAGAAGATGGCCTACTAAAACATTCCCTTTTGTGAAACTGTTCAGTTGTGGCTAGTAACTTGAGCCTTTTCTTCACAGACCTTGGGATGCATACACAAGTGGAATTCCCATGAGGTGTGCCATCCAAGTACATATTAAGAATAGGTGACATCTGCATAGCTTTGGAAACGAAATGGTGGCTTTCTGCTATCTGGGCGTAAGAACGGAAAAGGACTTTGCCAGCTTGCAAAAGACAGTCAGACCTGGCCTTGGTTGCCATTCCCAAGACTGAACAGAAGGCCTGTGTTGAAATAGAATGTTGCATTAGTGCAAATTGCTGCCAGCTGTGAAGTCTGGAGCACACAGAGTTCACCAGGCATTTGGGGTTGTGCAGAGGAGGACCTATGTTCTTCCACTATAAGGCTTTTACTACTGCTGTCCTAGTCCCTTCTCAACAGGGCTGGCCCTGCCATTGGGTCTGGGATGCAATTACTGTATGGGGCTTACTGCTCTATCCTGCTTGGAAGCAGCAGCAGTGGTCACGATGTCGGTGGCAGCAAGGTGACAGAACACCTTGATGCTACCAGGAGCAGTAATAGCGACTGGAGGAGGGGGAGGAGGAGCCACTTCCCCAGTAGTTGCTCTGCAAAAGGCTATCTTGTCTGGTTGCTTCTATTAAGCTCATTAGTGCCTTCCTCCTAGATTCTTCCCTGGACAATTTTTTTCAGCCCCCTCTCCCCCACAATAGAGCTCCTCCAAGGGACCTTGGTGGCAGGCATTACTGAATTTCTCATCGAAGCAGACATGCCAAGCAGGGTGGCACAGCAAAGGCTGACCTCAGTAGTGAATGTTTCCCTTTGTTGTTCTCTTGGTGGGACTGGGTATGCTGTCATCTTACTGCTGCTGTGCTGCATCGAGATAGTTTCCATGCAATAGAAGAGTGGCACTTTGCCTCCCAACTACTGTAGGATAGAAGACTGATTGCATTGCCTGTCCTTCACAATCAGTGGAAGGATGGGGGTTACCACATCCAGGCATTCAAAAGACAGCCAGTCTGAATGCATGATTGGGGGAGAGTTCTGACCTGACCCTCTGCCTGTCCGTGCCTCCCCTCCAAGGACAATCTGAGGAGACTATAGCCTGCTACAGGGGGAGACTTGTCCTGCCCTGCAGTCCATCGGGGATGCTGATTTTCCAGGGTCCCCGGTTGCCTGAAGAGGCTCTGTGTGCAACAAAGGCTTTGCTCTTCAGACACTTCTTCTCTCCATGAGTCAGTGACTGGTGAGTTTTAAGGGCTATAAAACTCCCGGTGTATGCATTTAGAGTCACCCTTTCCTGAACAGTTGCATTTGGTCATTATAAGAGCTTGATATGGATTGAGGTTGCTTAAAGGACATAATAGCACAGTACAGCAGCAGTGTGTGCAAGAGAATAATTGTAAAGCAATTCAGAGACACAGTGTGCATTGGCTGGTGTTAGTCACCTGCCTAAAGGATGGAGATTGCAGCCTGTTAACTGTGAGGAACAAAACCTGATCCAATCGTTGGCTCTTTGCAGCATGTGGCCCTGTGCATCAAGTTGATTGCAGCCTGGTTTGTACCTGATGTCCCCCGGAAGGTTAAAAATTGGCATCTGAAGCAAAAGCGTAGAAGGCTGTTGCAGAGACTCAGGTGGGTGCTTGACTTACATCAAGTAACATTTTCCTAAGATACCAAACGAGGGGCAACCAGGATCCTTTTCTCTCTTCCAACCTTAGACAAAGCTATTTTTATCCTCTTTTGTTCTGTCTATTAGACTGTCCTGTTCTAAACACAATGTCATTTAATGGTTGTTGTGGGTTTTCCGGGCTCTTTGGCTGTGTTCTGAAGGTTGTTCTCTGGCAAAACATTAGGAAGAACACCCTTCAGAACACAGCCAAAGAGCCCGAAAAACCCACAACAAAAACCCACAACAACCATTAGATCCCGGCCGTGAAAACCTTTGCAAATACAATGTGATTTGCTTTGAGGAAGTTAAAAGAGCCATGACTAGTTCAGCAGAAGAAACTGAATGACCCAAGTTCTTTTTCATTACTAGACTGAAACATCCAGCTCTTAGGTTTGCTCCTGATAAAGCCCTTTACAGGTCCAAGATTCATTTGGATACCTGTGACAAGAAAACAAGTCTGTCATTGATCCAGGATGAAGCAGTTCCCTGTTTCAAAAGCTCCTGGACATTCTCCTTGTCTGCTCTGGACTGCTAGGAAGCGCTCCAGAACTTTGGATGACAGAGGCACTGAGGAAAATAAGGAGAACACCCTGTTAAGGAGGCGGAGGGTCTGGTGGGCAGGAGAAATGCTACTCCACGGATCTACTGATGGGGCATCACAAGCCTTTTTACCCTTAAAAAGCAGTCTACAAATATTTTAAATAACATACAGTATATAGTTACCGTATTTTTCCGTATATAAGACTATTGTCTAAAATCTTTAGACTAAAAATTGAGGGTCGTCTTATACATGGAAGTAAGCTGAGGGGCGAACAAAAACAAGTGGAGGGAAAAGCAGGGATCAAAGCGATCCTGCAGGACTTTGATCCCTTTCCCTCTACACTTGCTAAGCCCCACTTAGATTTCTTAATTTTGGATTAGAAAAATTATACATGGAAAAATACGGTACCCTCACTATAAATAAGAAAATTTATGATATAAGGTAATGGAAGATCCCCAGTGTGGTGTAGTGGACAGAATGTCGGACTGGGACTCTAGAGAACAGGGTTCCAGCCCCATGGCCATGGAAACTGACTGGGGCAAGTGGATTGGGTGAAACCACTCCTTAAATCTCTCACTTACCTTGGAAGCCCTATTAGGGCCCCTATAAGTTGGTTCTGACTTGATAGGAGAAAACAACAACAAAAGTAATGGAATGCATATAACTACTGTGGACTCAGTTTCCCCACAGTGCCATTCCTGTTCTTTTCCTTGTTACTAATATTTACCCATGTTCCCAGGATGTGCAGCGATCCTTGTCACTTTTGTCATTCACTAGAAATAATGTCTCTTCCTTGAGCCTGGAGGCTTCTGGGTGGGTGGATAAATCCAAATACTGTATAGTCTAAGGTCAGACCTGGTTTTTAGCCTGAGTCGTGTGATCACCAGAAAAAGGGGTGAACCAATCCATCCCTGCAGTGGATCAAATAGCGAGTTAAATGCTCATCTGTTCACAGTCAATAACTGTAGGGAGATAATTTAAACCATTTAAGAAGGCGGTGTGCAGAAGACATTATAGCAGAAAACATGTTTTTCCTGCTGCAATCACTGTGGGTGCAAGACCAGTTCTTTTAGTGTCACTCTTGATATTAAAATCTTACAGTGATGAGATTTGCACTTATGTTCTTCTAAATCAAGCCTGTGCAGACTTCCACTTCTTATGTTGCTTATAAGGGACCCTGCCACCCATATATTGATAGGTTGCTATGCAGCAGAGACTGTTTCCCTTATGATTTGAAGTTTTGGGTTTGAAATCAAGAGGGAGCTTATACACATGCACCAGACTCCTTTCAACCACTGCCCTCCCTCAAATGTACCAATAGCAGGAATCTGAGCTACTGAGTACAGCCTCCCTCTCCCTCCATGGGTATTCATTCATCAGGTCTTCAGCTGGCAGAAGTTCCTGTATGTAGTATAAACATTCACTGGTATATATCATGTTCACTTCTCAGTCAGGATGTGATCCAACAAGGAATTATCCCATGGTTTGGTCTGCTCTGGGAATAGATTGGTATGCTCATTTTCTCAGTGACCAAGTGATGTATGGTGTCATTTCATTAGGAACCAGCCCGTCTCTGGTTTTTGCCTACCCGCACTTTTCTGTTAGAAGCTACTGAGGTTTTTTGGTATGGGTAAGATCGCTCCAGCATGTATGATGTATGATTTAAGCTATCTCTTTGCTTCAACCATTTGATGATGTGAGGAAATTGAAAGATTCCTTCTACTCCTATGCAGGAGAGAGAAGCAGGAAATATGGGTTTTTTAAAAAACCCATATGCAGTGCTGATGTGATATGCCAGGAAAAAAAATTGAAAACTTCCTCTCTTCCCCCACCCCCATGATCATGAAGACATTTAAGCAAAACACAGAGGAGGGTACAAGAGGGGATTTGTGTTTTTTTTTAAGTCTTTCTTTTCCCTCTTTCCCTTCACCCCAAGTGGCATACTGCACCTTAAAGCGACCTGATAAGTACAATACAGCCTGGTCCAAGCAGGGATAATTCGGTCATCTACTCGCACCTTTAATTTTATGAGAGAGATCTGTGGAAATATATTTGTTCAATGAGCATATAAATTCTTGAACTATTTTTTCCAGATACAAGTGGTCAGTGAACTGTATCTTGAAAGTCCAATTTGGATGGTTCTATGTTGTCACATTAAATGGTCTGTTCCCATTTTTATTTTTATTTTTTTAAAAAAGTGACATCCAAGAGGGACCTAGAGGTTTCCCATCCAGGCACTAATCTTAAATCCACACCTCAATGTATTCACCACTGTTTAGGATTAGATGCTTTGAAAATGACTCTGAGTTCAAATGGAAATTGAGTGCATTTCTGTATATTTTAGCACAATGGACGACTCCACGGAAATCTAGTGAAACACTGAGGCAGGTGTTGGGATCAAAACAAGACATCTCAAAACTGAGTGCATGGCCAAATGGTGCTGAAGGCTTCGAAGATGCAAGCTCAACTCTTCTTACTTAAGCACTGTTTCTGTACTTTACCTCTTCATTGAAATAGAGCAATGCAAAGATAGCTTTGCATGGTAAGACTGTTTTGAATAAGTACGTGTTCCTAGGAGAAGTGAAACTAGACAATGGCAACACCAGAGATGAGGGAGAAGACCATGCAGATGCTTACATTGTCAAAAGAATAACTCACTGTTGGAAGGTTGAAAAGCAAGAATGTCCATCTTCCATAAGTTGGCAGGATCTGAGAACCTGACACACATCATCACCCAAAACAAATCTGGCACTTAACAGCCGCACAATTCTTACTTATTTGTCATGAACTCACACTGTTTATAATAAATACAGCCCATGCATGAACAGGAAATATGTTAAATAAGGCACAGTTCACATGTATATGCTGGTATCTTATTTTTGTTCCAATATATTTCTATTTAGATAGGAATCTCTTATTTGTTTCATATGAATTCCTTGGGTATAATTTAAACATACATGTACACAGTGCACCTAAAGTTATTTTTTAGGGTTTTCTTACAAGTTAATCCCAGCCAAACCTCTAATTTTCTCTTTAAACCCAGAATGTAGCAGATAAGTAAATCCGTCAGAATAACTCCTTTGCACTTTTTGAATCAAACTCTTTGTTTTTTTAATGGCACGTTATTTAACACTGGGAGAGGTTTCTTAGGTTATAATATCTATCCAGTTAACTATCTACCTCACTAGGAGGCTTAATTCAGATCCAAGCAGCACTTTTCAGGCCTTGTCGATAATACAAACATTTTCTTATTCTATTGTTCCAGTGAAGCACTGGGGCAGATGCCCATATTCAGGCCACAGTTGAAGTCCTACTCAGAGGTGACATTGTGTTTATTTGTACATACCGTAATGCTTAACCTAACTTCTTTCACTCATAATTTAGGCCTTTATAGTTGCATTTATACATAACAATGATCAGTGTAGAAAGACTCCTTGGGTTTTTTAAATTAAAAATGCTGTTGTACCCCAGTTATAAGCAGCACTTCTGTTCAGTCCAGAAACTCTGCACGTGTCCCTGAAGAATACAGTTCTAGCTGATCCTAGAATGGAACTCATGTTCATAAATAGGGATAAAACAGAGCAGAAGGGCTCTGGTGCTTTTAATTACTGTGAGCAAGGGGGAATTTTGCACGTGAACGACTTGTATTGCAAAGCGGCATATGGGACAGAAGCTGCAGCTGCTGAAATTCTCTTTTCCACAAGGACTCTGTGCTTCACTTTCTTCTAAACTGATATTTTCTCTAAGTTCTCTTGTGCCCCCCTTCCAATCAAGTGTCTAATAATCCTGAGAAACAAAGTACAGTAAAATAACTATCAAATGTTAAGATTGCAGGTTGTATTTCAGATGTAAAGTTCAGTCTCCTGGATCCATTAACTTCATATTATGTGGACAGGGTAAAACAACTGAATTAACATATTTATATATTGATATGTAAATTGTATCATCTTTTTACTGAAATTTTCTCATTTTCACTGTGTGTATATTTTATTGCTCCTTCCATTTACCATTTGTTTATTTAATCAGAGCCAGATCATAAGCTGTGATTTTTTTACAACATAAATGTTCAGCTTATGCTTCAGTATTTTGTTTATTATGAGCAGTATTTTGACTCTTTGGAAGGAACTGACTTTTTCCAGTGACCAAAATTACATTCCATGGCTTCTGAAGTCACTGTTACAATTAGAGCTCTTAACTCAAAGAGTCACAGTGAGACAAAATTATCGAGTATCCATAGGCTTACACTAGGTGTTAGGCACCTGTAGTTTAATTTCTGTTGTTTTGACATATTCTGACATTTGCTGTTATGTTTAGCTTGGACAGCAATCTCAAGTACATTCCTGGAAAATATTTTATGTCTGAAAATCTAAGTAATGCCTTAATCCTAGAAGATGTTTGCTCAGGGAAACACCTATAAATGTGCATCTGAAAGCAATGTGAACTTCTGAGGTTTTGGCTACACGAATCTCTGCATATGGAACTGGAAATCTTAATTCAATTCATAATTTTTCAGGCTATCAGACCTTATGTTTCTCATCCTCTTTAAAGTTGTGCTTTTAAAAAACACACACAAATACTATGAAATTTTGTGGAATGTGTAATTTTTATTAAATAAAATTTTATACAATAAACTTTTACAAAATAAGCTGCAGCTTTTAACAATGAATAGTGGACTGGACTTATTTTAATGTGAACAGACCTGGCATGAACTTTGTGTTCATTTGGAGATAAGATACCTTTCTTCAGAACGCAACAATTTTGCAGTGATTATAGGCCAGGGTAGGAATGTGTGGACTTCCCAACATTGGTTTTGCAATGCCCGTCATCCTCAAATGTTGACCATGCTGGCTGAGGCTGATAGGAGGTGAAGCCCAGTAACATCTATAATGTTATAACTGTGCTACAGGAGTATGGGACACTGCAATACGAACATTCTTGCTCTATCTCTTCACCTATTGCATGCCTGTCATGTGAAATCTCATTTTATTTTGTGTGTGTGTGTGTATGTAGCATCCATATCCACATATAAACATATACATATGCTTTTCCTAATGTCACTAAAAATGTCATTTTTAGCATGAAGATGACTTAAACATACTGTATACATCTGACAGGATTTATTTCCTTAAACAATACCAAGAATTTCTAATACATTTACTTCTTGTTCCTTTATTCAGAAATTTTGCAGATTTTTGAATGGGAAATATTGAAGCCAAGAAAGGGAGTGACTTAATTTGGGAGCGGCCACAGAAAAAGCCTTCTAGCAATCAGGAAAAGGCAGTCTCCTCCTGATGCTAATGCTTGTGTGTGGGGTGTTTGTGTGTGTCATACAAGGAGAATAGAGTGGCCCTTCTTTCTTGTCTTTCCACAAGCCAGCACAGACAGCTAACTGGCTGCTAAGAACAGGGCTTCTAACACATGGGTGCTGTACACTTTAATTATTACTGTTTTAATTTTGTATATATGTAAAACTTTTTAATTCTGCTTTAACACAATAGTTTATTGTGTTTACATTCACATTTAATTAATCTCTTTGCTAATAATGATCCTTGTATACAAAACTCAGAAAACTTATAAGTTCCTTCCAGTGTCAATTTCCAGTACTGTATTCTAAAGTGGCTCAGAAATTGCACCCGTCCCCTGAGTGTCTGTGGAGGGTCCAGGAAAGTGAAATTAATTTTTTACACCTGCTAGATAATTGCTGATGTGATTAATCATTTTGTTAAAAAAAATTTAATAAAATCTTTGCCTGTATAATGCCGATCAAAAACATGGCTGCAGGCAGTTACTTGGTTAGCAATATATAGAAAGGCAAAGGAAAAGATTTTTTTAAAAAATTAATCAAAGTTATTCATCACATCAGCAATGATCTAGCAGATGTTTAAAAAATGGCTTCCTCTGAACCTCCATAGACAATCAGAGGAAGCACTCCATTGTCTGCGGATTGGGGTACAAAGGGTTGCTTGACATTTGTACAGGAGTAGGGCACCGAATGGCACATCACTGCTCCTCCCCCCAAGTTCCACCTTTTGTAATCTGCAACTGGATTTATTTTAATGTGAACAGACCTGGACAGTCTGGACAGGCCCTTAAATGTTCTGCACATGAAAAGCACAGAAGACACCTGTTGCCTCCTACCCCCTCTTACCTGCCCCTCTGTAAACCATCTCTTCAACTTGTAGAGGCAAGAAACTGCTATAAAAAATGGAGAAAAAAAGTATATCGATTCAAGACACATTCGAAGCGGGGTTCCAACATATGAATAAGGACGAAAGGTTAGACTGAAAGACACAGATATTAGTTGGCTGCATAATCCCTTGGGCAACAGCACAAAAGCTGCATGGATTAAACACATTCATGGTTAGGTAAGCAATCAAGGGGCACTGAGGTTGTAAAATGGTATGGAAACATGCCCTGAAAATATCCATCAGAAGCACCATGGTGAAAAATTAGGCTATCAACATCTGTTAAAACCGTCTCTTGATTAACGAGAGGGAATAGATAGGAAGTTGTGTGTTGTTGACACCTGTATCCTATGAGCTCAGCAGAACTGATAAAAAGTTATCCCCAAAGTCCTGGAGAGGATTCAGACAACTAGGTCACATACGTTGTTTCAACTTACTGTATATACTGCCCCATAGTGCTAAAGCACTCTTTGTCCCCCAGTAAGCTGGGTACTCATTTTACCAACCACAGAAGGATGGAAGAATGTGTCTGCAGTACTGCTGTTTAACCATTGCGCCATGTGGCTCTTCATGTGGTTAGATTTTTCATGGATAAACTGATATATGTTATATAATATTTAGACAATTTATACTTCACAATTAAATAAATCTTACGTATTGTGTTTCCCTTTGTAATTAATTTTTTGTGAGACACAAGAATATTGGGTGACCTCAAGAAACACTTCTAGTTTACAACACCCAAAGGCACCACCAGTACAATGTAATAAAAATAGAAATAATGTAGGTGCAGAAAATAAAAGAGGCATTGGTCACTTAAATAGGAAGAATGTTGTGAAGGAGAAAAACACAGGAGAATGGCCAATTCATCCAGATGCTTTGTTCTCTTACAACTAATCTTTTGACCATAGTCTTCAAAATTAGTCTGAACCCCCACTTCTGATAAGAGATGACAAATGTACAAGTTCATTCTGAAGCGCCAGGTCTGAGACAATGGTAAGTTGTGGTATTTGTATGTGTTACCTATGAGAGACATGGAGATGGATATTATAATGGAAGAACATGTAAAGTTGCTGCAATGCAAAAGCCTTTCTGAATGAAAAAGGGAGGAGCATTTTAGGGGAACTGCATTCACCTTACAGTCTTTTCTGCAATATGTCTTGGCTAATCGGAGAAGACCCAGGAACAAATTTTCAGTGGCTTTGCATCTAGGCACAAGTTTTAAGTGCTGCCAGGGATGAAAACTTCTTACCTGCCCCTCTGTAAACCATCTCTTCAACTTGTAGAGGCAAGAAACTGCTATAAAAAATGGAGAAAAAAAGTATATCGATTCAAGACACATTCGAAGCGGGGTTCCAACATATGAATAAGGACGAAAGGTTAGACTGAAAGACACAGATATTAGTTGGCTGCATAATCCCTTGGGCAACAGCACAAAAGCTGCATGGATTAAACACATTCATGGTTAGGTAAGCAATCAAGGGGCACTGAGGTTGTAAAATGGTATGGAAACATGCCCTGAAAATATCCATCAGAAGCACCATGGTGAAAAATTAGGCTATCAACATCTGTTAAAACCGTCTCTTGATTAACGAGAGGGAATAGATAGGAAGTTGTGTGTTGTTGACACCTGTATCCTATGAGCTCAGCAGAACTGATAAAAAGTTATCCCCAAAGTCCTGGAGAGGATTCAGACAACTAGGTCACATACGTTGTTTCAACTTACTGTATATACTGCCCCATAGTGCTAAAGCACTCTTTGTCCCCCAGTAAGCTGGGTACTCATTTTACCAACCACAGAAGGATGGAAGAATGTGTCTGCAGTACTGCTGTTTAACCATTGCGCCATGTGGCTCTTCATGTGGTTAGATTTTTCATGGATAAACTGATATATGTTATATAATATTTAGACAATTTATACTTCACAATTAAATAAATCTTACGTATTGTGTTTCCCTTTGTAATTAATTTTTTGTGAGACACAAGAATATTGGGTGACCTCAAGAAACACTTCTAGTTTACAACACCCAAAGGCACCACCAGTACAATGTAATAAAAATAGAAATAATGTAGGTGCAGAAAATAAAAGAGGCATTGGTCACTTAAATAGGAAGAATGTTGTGAAGGAGAAAAACACAGGAGAATGGCCAATTCATCCAGATGCTTTGTTCTCTTACAACTAATCTTTTGACCATAGTCTTCAAAATTAGTCTGAACCCCCACTTCTGATAAGAGATGACAAATGTACAAGTTCATTCTGAAGCGCCAGGTCTGAGACAATGGTAAGTTGTGGTATTTGTATGTGTTACCTATGAGAGACATGGAGATGGATATTATAATGGAAGAACATGTTGCTGCAGTGCAAGAAGCCTTCCTGAATGAAAAAGGGAGGAGCATTTTAGGGGAACTGCATTCACCTTACAGTCTTTTCTGCAATATGTCTTGGCTAATTGGAGAAGCCCCAGGAACGAATTTGCAGTGGCTTTGCATCTAGGGACAAGTTTTAAGTGCTCCCAGGGATGAAAACCTTGAAGAAATTATCTGCTTAATTTCTCAAACAAATTCAACACCCATTAGTTCTTATATGAAATTGAACTTCAAAGCAAACTGGATCTTACTGCTGCCATTTTTTGATCCTTACATTATTTTACAATTTCATGGGCTGGTTAAACAGCAGAAGGTGTAAAATATAAATAATATTTCCAATAAATTGTTGAAAAGACAATCCTGAGTTCTCACTTTTACCATGTCCAATGATATATCAAGTAACAGAGAACATTCCACTTTTTATACCAGAAATAATCTCTAGCATTTAAATTTTACTTAAGTGCTCCCTACAAGGAAAAAAAATTAAATGGTAGTCTATAATTTTTTGAAATATATGTTTCAGTATATTTTTTGTGCCTTGCTGTGACAGAGCTCCATGCTTTGGCCTTCACACAAATGGCTTTCTATTTGAATTAATATTGGTTTACTGAATGGGTGAGGCTTGGCATGAAGCAGTGTAGCATTTGATACCAAGAGTCTGAAATCCAGTCTATCTGGAATGAAAGGAAAGAGAGATGCCTCCTAATTGTATCCGAGTGTGCATGGCAGCTCCTATCAAAAGATCTAATGCAGACAGAATTTTATTGGAGCACGTTCAGCAGCAGGAACATCCTGACACCTGCATCTAAATTACCAGAGAGAAACACTCACTACTTTGTGCCTCATAATGCTCTTTATAGGGCTGTCTGCCCACATGATAAAAAGTGGTTTATTTAGGAAGACACAGCATTCAGTGTTGCAGGAAATTCTTCTCATACAGAGGATTAGTCTAATAGGCTCTTTGTTGTACGTTACAGTCATTTATTTATGCTCAGGAGTACAGAAGCAGGAAAGTGAAATTACACACATCATTAATACTGATTCCAGAGCTTGTCTAATGTCTGCTATTACTTCCTTTTCCACTTGAATTCTGCTCAGTGTTTTTCCCCCTCACAGCAGCCAGTGCTGCAGAAGTTACTAATAATGTAGGATCTGCAATCACATTACCTGAGGAAGATATACATATTTACTATATTTAGGGGTAAGATGTCCTCAGTTTACATAATCTGGATGTCTGTGAGAATACTGAAACAGATCTTCAAATTATGCATATAGAATGGCCTTTTTTTCTCATCTCCTGATTCCTTGAAAGTTCCACAGCAACTTTAAAGGCTTAGTTCCCTCTGGAGGAGAAAATAATGAAGAATGATAACTTTTGTGCACTTGTAGTGAGACAGATGTTACAGCATGTGGAAAGCAGTGCATCTGGACTTCATTTCCTCCAGAAAAAGAACAGTTTGGTGATTCAGACTGCGACAACCGCCTATTTGCTTCTTTGCCCTAAACTGAAGACTATCAAAACCGATATCGTTGGGACTGCAGGCTCTATTTCTGGGCAGGCTCCTGGGCTTTTCAACAGCTGCAAGACAAACAGTAATACAGCAGGGAAGTTTTGCAACATGGAGATCCATTAACAGGAAAAGCTTCCCATGGTAAATTGCATCTTACGAGCCGTCAAAAAGAACCAGCCACTCACGTCTTTTATGACCCACTCTAATCTCTCCCCAACAGGAAGCTGACTTGGTTGATCACTACCCAAAAATCTGAAAGATGGGGTGTAGATGCACCGTGTAAAATCTGCATTAAAATCTAAAATATCAGATCTCCAATTATAGCCATCTGCTAATAGGATATATTGAATTAATTCTTGGTGTATTGGAGCCAGTGTGGTGCAGCAGCGCTAAGTCAGCTCAGCCATCCAATTCACTGTATGACTTTGAGTCTGATAGCCACTCAGGGCAAGAGGCCATATTCAACTTGCCTTGAGCTCACCAGAGGAAAGGCAGAATATAAATGTAGCAAATAAATAAATAAGCGGGATGTGATGCTGCTGTGGGTTAAACTGCAGAAGCCTGTGCTGCAAGGTCAGAAGCCCAGCAGTCGTAAGATCAAATCCACGCAACGGAGTGAGCTCCCGTCGCTTGTCCCAGCTCCTGCCAACCTAGCAGTTCAAAAGCATGTAAAAATGCAAGTAGATAAAGAGGTACCACCTCGGTGGGAAGGTAATGGAGTTCCATGTCTAGTCACGCTGGCCATGTGACCACGGAAAGTGTCTTCAGACAAAATGCTGGCTCTATGGCTTTGAAACGGGGATGAGCACCGCACCCTAGTGTTGGACACGACTGGACTGAATGTCAAGGGGACATAATAAACAAACAAGGAAGGGAATTATGTTGTGGCACTTAAACTGTGCTGTGCATTCAAACTATTCTCCCCCAACCTAGTGCTCTCCAGATTTGTCAGACTATGGGTACAATCAGACAGTGATATAGCTCACATATTAGACTGTTTGTGGCACAGTTTGGTTTGAGCTCTTTTCTGGCAACTACACAACTATAAGAAGTTGCAGAACAGCCCAATCCTGCTCTGTGCTCAAGCCAGAACTTTCTGGTCTACCAGCAGGGCTGGAGCAATTGGGGGTGCGCAAAATCGTTGCTTTAAACAAGATCACACCCAGTGAAGCAATCCCTTCCAGTGTGATCCAGTGCAATCCAGTTTCCTATGTGATCGCACCATCTGAGACTTTCATTCCTAGCCAAGCTGTGTAATGTGAAATGGATAGCGACAGATTGGGCATGACTGATTATCAGACATGCTCTTGGGCATGACTGATTATCAGACATGCTCCTAATCTCATTTGTGCCATGAGCACACTAGATGTTGTTGGTGCAAAGAAGCTAAGGCTCCACAGCTGCAATATGAAAACAGGACTGCATAGCCCTGACAGGTCTGTTGTAAAGACTATACAACTGAGTATCAGTGAAACACAATGAACACTCAAAAGAACTATACAGTATATACTGTATATATATAGTGCACATTCTAAAAGCAGGAAGAAAACCAGCCCGCTAAATCTAGCTAGTCTCACTTAAAGGGGGTGAAGGGCATGTGTATCGAGATGCAGTGCTTCCTTGTTTTGTAGATTATGTATGCTGAGAAACTGGTTCACTAGTGAAGAACATCCACTTTGTTTCCTGGAACTAAAAAGTAAAGTTGACATTAGGATCTACAAGATAATAGACAAGTTTCCCATCCACCAGTTCCTCGTGTATCTTTGAGAATGGAAAAAGAAACAGAAGCTCCATCCTTAGTTTGAAGAGCAGCCTGAAGACACCAGTGGGGGGTGGAGGTAGGATGCCTGATCTTGCCTCCTCTCTCTCCGCTTGCCCACTCTGCTTTTGTAAACTGCTGGAGCTGACAATCACCGCATTTCACCGCAGGCTCTGCCCCTCTCTCCCCTTGTTTGCTCTAAAACGTAGATCACCGTCTTGCACTCCAGTTGTGTTGAAAAGAAATGCCGAAGCACACAGAGCGCCACGCACTTCTCCCACTTCCTAAAGAATGATTCAATTGCAACGGTCCCAAGATTACAAGTTTACGTACAATTGCCATAATTGTCTGCTCCAAACAACTCCAAGTCGCTAAATAAATATTTGCACAATCCAACGTATGCTCGTCTCCAAAGCAAGCGTCACTCAGTTCACTCCGGGTTTACTTCTGGGTAAAGCGGGCGTAGGACTGCAGCCCGAACAACCGAGGCACGAGGCAAAAGAGGGCGGTTCACGGGCTACCCATCCCCTTTCTCCCTCCGCCTGGTGTTGCGGAGCGTAAACAAACAAAACCCACCGCCCTCAGGTGTGAGACTTAAGGGCAGTGCCGCCGGAGGGACGCATGCTGGGAAAAGTAGTCTTTTTATTTAAACAACTCTTCGGCGGTAGAGTCTCCCGCACTACATCACCCAGCATGGCCTATGAGGAAAGGTGTGAGGAAGGCCACGCCCTCTGGCCTACCTGAGCGCGGGGCAGGGTTCCTATGGCAACAGGCGAGGAGATTATGAAGGCTCCTCCCGGTAGCCTCAGCAACCAAGGCCGTGGGCTTGGGGCTTGGTGACTAGGCGTACAGTATCTCCTTCCATGGAGCGCGGGGATTCCTTCCCGCTCCTTGAAATAGCCTGTCCTGTCTCGGGCCCAGTAAACGAGCCACAGCTACTTTTTAAATTTATTTTTGGTAAGAGGAAAGGTAGGATACCATTCATGTGCTTTATAGGAGTGGGATAGAAATTAACTACGTCTAAAGAGAATTAGGACCCTCCGGTCTTCCGTCCTTGGCCATTTCAAAGCAAGGTTTTAGCGAACCTTTTGATAACTGGGATTGTTGCCGTTGATAAAGGAGAGATAGTTCCCTTGTAGTTTAGTTTTACAGTACTACCAGTATTGTTTTGTCCCATCTGTTTAAGCTGGGAATCATGCTTGTGGAGGTGAGAGAAAACTCAACTATATCGGGATGATTAGTTTGACTAGTCCCACATTAGCCTCCACTGAAGTAAAATGAATAGTAATTTAGATTTTGTACAGACCTTAATTTAAAGAAGTCTTGGGATTCCTAAGCAGTTCCACTAGCTAACTCCTACCTAAGGCCTGTAGCACTCATGTTTAGTCTGAAATATACATGTTTAGGATCATAGTGTGACTTCTCATTGGAAAAAATGGGACTTTAAAAATACTTAACTGTGCTTGAATTGGCCTTAGTATTTTGTCATCTCTGTAAAAATTCTTAAAATGTGATTCCTGCTTTTATGTGCGATCAAGTTGTTTCCCATGAATTATTGAGTTCCAATAGATGGAAAACAGCCTTCTCAATTCAAATGATTACTAGGAGAGCATGTATGTATGTATCACCCCATTAGTGCAAAACACTACTTTGGGTGGTCTACAACAATTGTTAAACAGTGCAGTGCTAAATAATAATTTAATACAAAATTAGGACAGTAATAAGAACGATCAGCTAAATATCTAATGCTTTAAACAGAAGTTACCCTTTTAAAACTGGGTTTCAGTTTATTAACTTCAAAGTTAATTGGAATGAAGCAGAAATATTTGATAGGTGATTGATCACTGGGGAGACTGCTGAATTTTTTGGCTTGGTTTCTTGGGCAGCAATTTTCTGTGTAACTATTCTGGCTGATTGAAACCTGGAATAAAATATGATTTGTTGGTAAGATTATTCTCTAACTTCTTGATTACTATAGACCTTCCAGGCAAGTTATAGCTGTACTTAAAAAAATTATAACAGTTAATTGAATTATGTATATCTGACATTCTCAAAGCTTTTGAGATTTCTGTGGTGTTATTGCTCTATTAAGTTTCTCCTTGTGTTATTGCTTATTGTTTTGTATGCTGTAGTGATGGACAGAACAGACAAAATATTTTCTGTAACTTTTGAGGAAGCATATTTTGTGAAGTCAGTGCGCTTAGGTTTCAGAGTATTTGGATTATCATAATCTTAATCACAATCTTTTTGTCTTTGACCCACCTTAACAAGTTACTGTGACTTGTATTCATATAAATATCCAGTACCCAATATACTGTACCGGTAATTATACTAAAGTTCATCCAACAACATTACACCATCGGAACAGTGGCTCTTCATTATGGCAAATGAAGTACAGTACTATCCCACGTAACTGGCTATCCTACTGCTCTCTTCCACCTTACCAGAGGGCCTCTGTGTGAATGTTTGCCCCTGTCTGGGAATCCCCACTTTTGTCCCTGAATCTGCTGAGTGGTATTACTAACAGTGATTTCCTCTTTCTGTCCTACAGTTTTTAATGTGATAAAACGGATTATGCAAGAATCAGAAAAGCCACAGGACAGAAGTAGGAAGCTTTAATGCCTGAAAATTGTCACCTCTTGGTGATATCTCCACCCTTCTGTAAGTAAAGTAATAGGATTTCACTTGAAGTTACAGCATGGCCCTTGCTCCCTGCAGCCACCTTACATATAGAAAATCATCAGTAACAAAATGATCAGAATAATGAGCAAAATAGCGTGTAACTTCCATGAGCAGAATAATGGTAATGACAACAATTTGGGCTTTCAGTGATCCATAAGACTGCAAGTTACTTTTTCAGTCTTTGGAAAAGGGAAATTACACAGAGAGGGATGGAAACAAGAGCCCAGGGAGAGTGGGTAACTGGTGCACCCAGCACCATCCAACTCACTGTGTAGCAATCAGAGCAGCAATGTTGCCAGAAAAAGAAATGAAAGAAAACCTAGAAATTTTGCATGTGCCATTCAGAATTAGAATCTAGCTTTTTCTGGTAGCCTAATTTAGCTGCTGCAATTCAGTCACTCTTGAGCTGGCTTGGATCAAGAGTATTTTTGCCCCTTCCTGCAAATGAGGTTACTGAAGTCTGGTCTTACATCCAGATTTCTAGAAACCAGTAGGATAAGATTTCATTTTGAGGGTTAACAAAGATAGCTCCCTAAGTAAAGCCTCCTTCTGACTGTTGCCCAATGTTTACTCAAGTAATCCTACCACAGGCCAAGCAGCGTGGTGTCAACTAGAGATGGCTTTTCATGGTCTTGGACACGGCCCTTTTTCCTAGCCTGTTACTTGTGAACTTTTGCCATTGGAGATGTTGATGATTCAACTTGAGAGTTTCTGTGTATGAGCTGTGCTTGCAACAAAAAAATATTTTCAGAGGCTATTAATAAGTTTAATATCTCTTTTTCACTGTTACATTGAATGAGAATAACAAGTATAGCAGTAGTGGTGCTCCATGCAAGAAAAAAACATGGTAAGAGGTAGAGGGAATGTGATACCTCTGTTATATCTTCACAGCAAAATCCTGAGGACGTTTTGCTGGTGTGCCAGCTGTCTGTGTGAGCAAAAGTCTGGATAGGTGTAGGGTAGAGGAGGATGTTTATTCTCTACAGACTCATCCACATGTTAGGAGACTAGTGGACCTCTCAGCATGCACAGTTGGAATGTTGTAACCACAAGTCATAAACAGTATTCATGAGATAATATATACTGTAGATGGTAAATTTGTTGAAATTACTATCTAAATGTTAAATAACAGTAACTGAAAAATGAATACTGCTGAAATCCTGTTGGCATAACTTATAACATGTATACACCAGCAACAGCTGTGATTTTTGGGGAATTAAACATTTTTACTTCTAGAGTTCCCAAGGTGCTTATGTAATCATTTCCATTGTTGGGAAGACCTTGGGAACCACAGAATGGGAGGAGAAAGTCTTTATTGCCACCTACAACCCAAGTGTTGCTGACTTTCAGTAGTTAAAAACTTCCACTTTTCATCTTGTCATACTCAGTGGCTTCCTAGTGGTTAAAGTGATTACATAGGAGCCTCAAGATCTTCAGGAGAGAATTAGGAAAAGTTTAATAATGCTGCTGCTGTTGTCATTATCAGCCTTATACAACATTCAGCATTCTATCAGAATATTATGCCTCTGGTAGTATCTTGTTTTATTTTCTAATTAGTTTTACTTATACTTTATTTGCTCTTGTTTTTTTTTATTATGTTGTAAATTGCCCAGAATAGTATTTGCATTAACAAGACAGTATACAAATTAAATAAATAATTTACAGCAACAGCATTTCAGCTATTAGGTGCCAAGGCCAGTACTTCAAAGCGTTTTCCCAGGGCACCCACAATTGTACTAGTTGTGTAGTGATACAGTTCAGCATTGCCACAGACTACCATCTCCAGAACAGATTTCTGGAACACAGGAAGAAGAATAGGCAGTGCACTGGATGAAAACCAGATTGTTATTTAGCTCCCATCTGGAGTGCAGTAGCTCTGTGCACCACTTTCAAGGTGGGCTGACCTATCAGGTTGAAACGTGCAAGAGAGCACATTTCTAGGTATTTGGATATGATGATGATGAATGCCACTATGGGCTTGCTATCTGGACATTTCATCTTAAGTTCCCAAACATCTTGAACCTTCTTTGTTTCTAGGGATAAGCATTTCACGTAGAGTCACACAGTCCCTTCCTCTGCAAATGCTTGCTCTTCATGTGGACAATGTGCTTCAGGAGTGCTAAATATCATTTGAAGGGCTTTGTTGATTTGTTTAAGAATAAAAAAAAGTTGCCAGATGGAAGGATTGGATGATTAAAATGAGATCGAAAGATCAGATTATAGTTAAACTTCAGACTAATAAATCATCATGGTATAATTATATCAAGTTAGATGAACTAATGAATGGTTGAGGACGAATGGCAAATGTAGAGAATGAACTATGAACAATTTCTATAATCACATGAAGACATGCAGAAGGATGTTTTGAGGAAGGTAGTAGTAAGTAGAATTTATAACCTAATTTTGGATCAGGAGGAAAATGAGACTGAAATAGAAGGATTGAAATCAATTTGGGAACATGATTTAAAGTCAAAAATCAGGAAGATAAGAATGTTGAGATTAATGTCGGTAAGAATAAAGGAGAATTTTTTAAAAATTAGTTTAAGGTGGTACATGACTCTGGTGAAATTGAACATAATAAATTCAGACTATTCTAAGGCCTGTTGGAAATGTGATGAAGAAATTGGCAGGTATTATATGTGGTGGAAGTGAAATTGATTCAGAAATTTTGGAAATTGATTTTTAAGGAAATATGAGATTAAATTCAATATCTAATTTCTAATTTAATACCATGTTTGTCTTTCCAGTATCTAGCTATTAATATTCTAGCACTTGTCATAAAATTAGAATTCAATTCCTTTGAGCAATAATCAAGTTCTATCTTATCAGAAGTTGACAGCAAAGCAATTTTCCAAATATAAGATATTGAATTTAACTCTAAAATTGCTTTGCTGTCAACTTCTGATAAGATAGAACTTGATTATTGCTCAAAGGAATTGATTTCTAATTTTATGACAAGTGCTAGAATATTAATAGCTAGATACTGGAAAGACAAACATGGTATTAAATTAGAAAATTGGTATAACGAAGTATGGGACATTGCATTAAATGACAAATTGACTACTGACCTTGAAGAGAGGGGAAATAAGTTTAAATGTTTTTATTCTATTTGGGGTAGATTTATTGAATTTGTATTAGTGAAAGGAAAGGGGGAAAGCCTTCAAGCAAAAATCGATACAATTTTGGAAAGGAGGCTCGTTATAAAAGAATTGCTCCAAAGGGTCCCGTGGGTTTGGGGGTGCACTGTGTTTTAGATTGTTTAGATTGTTTTGGAAAAATATATTTGAACAAAAAGGAGTGCTAAATATCTTTCAGTGCACGTATATATTAAGATGGTACTGTAGTTCTAATAAGATAGCGATTTTGAACGGAGATCAGGGGAGTTTAATGGCTATTCAAGATGAATCATCATTTTAATTTCTATAATCCTCTCTGCTACCAGAGACCTTTGCCTTTCTTTTATGGCTTTTCTTCTACCACCTGTCCTTTAGCCCCTCCCCCCTTGATTGTGAGAGTTCTATCTCACAGCAAGTGTGCTTTATGATGCATTAAAGAAAATACTTGTCTTAAAGTTTGGAAAGACCTCAGCCTATAATATTGCTGTTACCTTCAATATACAGTTTATATGTATACTGTTATAGCTGTGTAGGTTTGGTCTGGTATTGCAATCTCACATTTCCTCCTATGTGAAAGCAAGTATATAAGTTGGATTTTCTTTGTTTCCTCCTGGGGTTTAAATTGTTTATTTACTCAGTTATATATATATATTTTATGGTAGCAGCTTCAGAACAGCCTTTGCTAGCTGGCTTAGTGCCACAGTGCCGCAGTCCTCCCAGCTACAATGCTCTTGAGCAACCTGCCTCCAAGCTAATCTTCCCTGAGCAAAATCTTGATTGACTGTTCTGTGGCAACAGGTTGGGAGGGTTTTGTTTCCCTTTTTTTTGAGTGTCGAAGTTTCATTTTGCCATTGTTTGCAGATAGATGAGTAGGAGGAGCAATGATAAGCAGGTGGGAGGAACCAGCTCTCCCAAGTGCAGGCCTGGAAGATTGTGATTGGGGCTTGGGATGGGAGGTATAAAAAAAGACTTGGAGTGAGGGAAAAAAGGTGGAGAGGGAAATACTTAACAGGTAAAGCCGGTCTTGGACAGTCATGTGATTACCTGGTTATGATAAGGGAGTAGAGAACAGGGAATACAAACCGTCTCAAGATTTGAAGGTGTTTTTCTGTATTCAGAAGTCTGGCAGGGTAATAAATACTTCTCTCTGTTCTCCCTTTTTTAATTTGCAGGATGCTGCAATGACTGTGAAATTGTTCATTATTCTGTTTGTGTCGTCTTTGCCCTTGGTCTTCTGTTTTGCCACAGAGACTGAGCTAGGAAAGCCAGCAGTTTCACAAGGTGAGATTCTAGAAAAGAAGGGGTGTTATACTATTGGAAGATACGAGTGTTTGTGTTTCATGAGCAGTCACTAATTAGTAGTCCTTACCCATAAATTCATACAGCCTGAGGCATATTTCCCTTTTTCTGTGTCTTTATTGCTTGATCTGATCTCCTTTGCAATGCCTGTTGCTTAAGTGTCTTCCCCGTGTGAGGATCACGGACATTCCTCTTTAGAAGCAGTTATGGGGAAAATTTGAAATGGGGGATATTTGAAATATTGATCTGGCAGGCCTAATTCTGTCCTTATTTCAGGCAGTGTGACCCTGTTATCTTCTCTGGCTCTTGCTTCCTAATTTGAGCTTTTTTATTGTTATTGTCCTTTGGATAATGAGATATTTACAAGTGTGCACATGGGGGTGAACTTCATATTTATCATCTGCTGCCTAAATGATTTTTCTCCACTTGTTCTTGAAGCCTATTTTTAATTCAACATTCCATGGGAAAACGCTGCAATCTTCCTCTGGTGTTTAGATCAGTTTATTGATGTTTTATATGCCAGAAGGTTGTCTCATAAAGTCTTTTTAGAGACCACTTTCTTGC